AAGTATAATAAAATTTTGGCATTTTTCTGATACACTGTTTGTAAACAAAATTGTTTAATATTACCTATTTGTAAACAAAATGGTTTAGTACTACTTATTTGTATACTGATGAGCAATATAACTTTGTAATTTCTGATTTGTCAACATATTTCCTCTAGAATACGTATGTTTTTATGTTGTTCGCATTGCATGCTAATCCTAATAAAAAGTCGTAACACAATTAATTTTGGAATTTCAATCCAGAGCTTACTATAATGATAACTTTGTGTTTGGGTCTGGTTAAGTTTCTAATTTTTACATTTTAGTTACTTTTATAATAATAAATAAAGAATACACAGGAAAAACAAGAAATAAAGTCCTTATCTGGGTCTTTCTTTTTTTTTTTGCTGTTGACTGTCAATGAAATTTAACCCTATTTTGTTATACTGATGGTACTACCGTGCTAAATAGTTTTTTCATTTCATTAAACAATGCATTTAACAACACAGAATAATAATATGCAAAAAGCAAACAATGTCCTATAAGTATCATAATTTTTCTGGCTTTCTAACTACGTGATAAGAGCCATTACAACTTCGGTTAAGTTCATCGATGTGTTCCCATGGGAATAAAGTTTGAACTAGAAGTAAAATAGACAATTCTCTGTACAGAAAACAATGTAATATAATATGTTAATTAACAGATTAAAATTTTGGGTTTTGTTGGTTATAAATAATATAGTATTAAACATCAGAGAGAACTATTGGCAATTTGTGAAACAAGGGATGTGACAGATGGGCATGGCAAGAGGAGTCTTATTTTCTAGTTTATGGTCCTGTAACCAAATAAGATTGAAGGCTTTGTATGAGTAATAAGTATATTATAATGAGTAATTTACATTAAATTCCATACTTATTTGAGGAGTGGAAAATAAATTAGAAATTTCAAACTATCTAGAGAGCAAATGTCACATTTCTCATACTATGGGAGATTTAGGACTTTTTTATATATTTCCTTATAAAATTAAGAACTTAAAACTTATATAATGTTAAAAGTTGAATTATTAATTACATTTTGTTGCCTAGTTTCTTCATATACCATGATAATAAAATAGTTTAATTTAAAATTTTGAATGTAACTCAGTAAATTCTCGTGATGTGCAGAAAAGGGTACCCTTGTGGAAAGAGTTAAGCATATTTGAGCACACCCTAAGTGAGTGTGATGAAGACATCCATTCAAATCATTTTAAGATCTTAACAAAAGCTAATGAATAACCCCTTGTACAGAAGGTTTCTTATACATAAACAGAAGCCACAAATTCACCAAGTCAGTTCTGAATGTAAATTTCTACTAATTATGTAGTTCAGTTTCCACCTTATTTTTTGTGTATTTTGTTTAATGTAATGTATTGTACTAATGATAAATTCACCACTTACCTGCAAGTACGCACTATGTTTGTAATCCCTATATATACGTATATCACCTGTGCTGTCTATAATTGTTTCCAACATTGCTATCAGAACTAAAAAGGTGTTTTCCACCTGGAGAAGAATAGTCAATTATTTTAAAACACTCAAGTGTCTGAGTCTTTTGAAATTATTAACAACACTATTATATACTTACATGTAGATAATGTAAATGTTTCTTCTTCATTTTTCACCAATTTGGTATTCAACAAAGCATCCTGCTCCTCATCAAAAAAGGGTTCAACCTTCATGTTTAATACTTCCATGGTTATATCACAGCATCATCTTAATATCCTTATCAAAGCATACAGTTAGACTACAGAAAAACAGGTTAACAATTAGAACTTGACTCAAACTAAAATTTATTACAAAATCCTCAATAACTACCAATTCACATCATCCTGACAACTTTTGTTTTTTAAAGTTTATAATAACTCTGTTACAATTCTTTTAATCTGACAATGTTTAACTCATTTTGAAATATGACCAAGACTACCTTTGAAACACATTTTTATACATAAGTATATACACCATAACTGTTGAGAATGGTTTTACCATCATGAGGAGATATAAAATTACAATCAAGTCTGACACTATTAGAACCCAGCTCTATTTTTACAACCTGGGTATTAATTCTTTAAAAAAAAACTTAAACTTCGCTTTAGAAAATTGTTCACTTATAAAAGTTAGAAAGTGGCAATGAACTGACAACACTGAGAAACTGTAGGTATGAAACTGATGTGTTGAGTAGCAAACACTACATATCAATTACATGGTCCAAATTATTAATATACACAAAAAAATTTAAAAATCCCACTTAACACATCTGGATAAAATCTGATATTATTTGTGCCTAAAACAGCACAATTAAATGTCACATTTACTCTAGTAGTACTACATATAACAATATGTACATGTAGAAAACAAATCACAGTACAATCCAAACCACACAAAATTCAAGCTATAATTTAACTTATTAAGTAGATAAGCACTGCACAAAGCAAGTAATCAGTTCATCTACTGCACACTGAACATACAACCTTTACTAATATTAACAAGTAGATAAACCAATGTTCTGTTGAAACGTAGTATGTTCCACCATAAATAATTTAATTATGATCATATATCGTTGTTTGCCTATTTGTTATTACATTAGCATAATTTGCTTCCTAAGTATGCAACCTTTACAAATTGCACACAATTTACAGTGCTAAACACCTTGAAAAATTACTTTTAAGCCTTTATTAGTCTTTAAACTGAGTTGTTTTAATGACCCTAAATGTTAGACTCTTTTCGAATATGTTTGAGAAAATATGGTTAAGAGAAAAATTTCAATTTGAAGGAAGTAGATATACAGCATACATCCGGTTCTACATTATCATGCCAAGTGTCCTTAAAAAAACAAAAAGAAAAATCTCATACAATAGGAGAACTGTGTAGGCTTTAATTTTTAACTTCAAAAATGATACGGTTAGAACTAATTTTACTGTTTAATTTGTTGCCAAGGTTCCTATTTAAATTAACAAAATTTAAGCAACAGATCTATTTCATTTTACTAGTCCGTCCCAACCAATTAACTTAAAAAAACAACAGAACTCAAAGCTCAGCCTTCTCAGTCATATTTTGGTTTGGAATTTTAATCACCAGAGTTTCTTTTATTCTGATATCTTCGTTGTTTTCGTCAGCAGTTCCATTACATTCCTAATTTACATGTTTATATATATTTAAAGAATAACCAGTGCTTATTTCATACGGTGCTCTTTTCTTGGTTATGCGTAATTTCATCCCACATTTTCTCGTCCACTTCGAGAACAAACATATCACAGTAAATTGACAAACAACGATTAATAATAATAATGAAGTGATTTTATTTTGGAGAACATCCTACCCAATATAAAACCACTTCATACTGCTTATAAATCGTTATTTGTCAGTTGACTATAATATTAGCACAATGTGCTTCCACGCACAAGTATCAAATATGTCAGTAAAGAACGTAGAAGCGTTTAAGTTTATTGATTTTCTTCTTTATATTGAAAAAGTTCTGAATTGTCAATATTGATTTTATAGCATGAAATGTGTGGCTAGATTAATTTCAAGATTTTTTTTTTCGCCCCAGCACATTGAAAGCTTAATAACTACATGAATGATAAGGGCTGGCTTTAGGAATTTTATTTATTCATTTAATAGTTTTAGTTTAGTTTAGAGGAGGGGACAGCTGAGATGGGCCAATAGGTTCCTTGTTGTCCTTAAACATTGTGTTGTGTTATAACAGTTCTAACCAGAAATTGAAGACTGGCAAAAATAAAAAATGGCAGTTTGGACTCATGAAAATCTTTATGAAGGGTGTACACTCCATTTAAAAACTATTGTTGCGTCAGCGAGATCACGTGACTATTCTCACGCCACCTGCTTTCTAGAACTATCCTGTACCTTGGCGAATGCTCTAGTATTTACTAGATATAGGGTAGTCTGGTATATAGAAGAGGGTGACAATGTGACGGGACAATAAAGTGTGTGTAGACAGTGAGTAATTGATCTGCAGTCAGAGAGTATTATTGAGCACATTCGTTGTTATAGCGTCTGTTTTAGCGCGATTGTTGAAGTTGAGTGTATCGGTAAAGTTATATTCGGAAAGAATAAACCAGTTTTATTAAGTAAGGACTTGTGTCGCTAAAGTTTCGTCGGAACGAATTTACGGAAAATCAATTAACAAACGGAGACGTAACACTATTTTAAAATATTGTCAAGCAATGAAAGTTCAAAATTATTTTTAACAAAACAATTTTTTACACATTTTATTTCTTTATGAAAATAATGCCAGTTAAATAAACAAATTAAACGCCACTTGTGCATTGATAAAACATTCAAAATATTAAACACTATCACAATAAACTTTATTAGAAACAGGACACTATTCAACTATTTAAAGTTGTATGTTTGTTATTCATACTTTTAACACCTGTCGTGCGGGCAAATTGGGTAACATTTTATACAATTGGTAGGACCACCAAATATTGATCTTGGAATTCAATTGTGGAAATAATTCTAAACGAATATACTGTTACGTCTCTGTTCGTTTTCTAATTTCCCGTAAAAATTCTTTCCGAAGAACTTCAGCGATACAAGTCCTTTCTTAAATAAAACTAGTTTATTTTTTCTCAATACAACTTTGCAATACATAGAATTTTCACGGTCACGTTAACTTAAACACATGCTATAATTCACAACGGCAATTATATATGCCGTCACTCCTATTCTCCGCTTTATTTGCCGGGCTTATATATAAAAAATAGACGGCGTCCCTCATGGTCCTTCTAGAAACTCATCACGTTTTACCAGAGTCACGTGACTTCTGCTGTCGTAATATGATTAGGATTTCACATAAGAGATACAAAAGTTCGATGTATAAACATGTATTGGCTGTATATATTGTTACGTCTCAGTTTGTTAATTGATTTTCCGTAACTTTGTTCCGACGAAACTTAAGCGACACAAGACCTTTCTTAATAAAACTGGTTTATTCTTTCCGAATATAACTTTACCGATACACTCAACTTCAACAATCGCGCTAAACAAACGCTGTAACGTCTCTCGTGCTCTCTGACTGCAGTTCAATTACTCACTGTCCACTAACACATTACATTACCCTCTTTTATATACCAGCCTACCCTATCTAGTAAATACTAGAGAATTCATGAAGAAACAAGATAGTTCTAGAAACTAAAGGGCGCCACAGCAATCATGTGACTCGCTGACGCAACACTGCCCTCCTTAGTATTGTTCGTCCCGAACAATAACCACATACAATAAACCAATAACAATT